TAAACAAAGTAGATAAAAGCTGGATAAAGGTCTAGGAACCAAGAAAAAATTAAGTATACATAAATGAATAGTCTGATAAGTAATCTAAGTCTTTAATTTGAATGAAATTAGTAATGGCAATGATATTAATATGTTCAGCTGGCACACATTGTTTAGAAAGGAAAGTGCTTGAATACCTTCTTCATGAGGGATGTTAGTATAGAGCAAAGTAACGTCCATAGTTACTAGGATAGATCGGTTAGGGATATTAGTTATTATCAAGGATTCTAAGAAATTACATAGTGTCTTGGATGTAGCTAGAGATATTAGGGAGTAAGGGGTTGATAATGGAATCAATAAGGCAGACAGATTTCCATTACTAAATTCATTCTTACGTATAACCATTTCACTTTTAACAACAGTCACTTTCTTCAAATTAAGGGGACCGCTATGGGCGGGAAAATTGCACCCAGCTATGCTAATGTTGTTTATGCACGAGATTGAGACGGCTATTATTTCATCCTTTCACCTTAAACCCCTTCACTACGCTCGCTATATTGAGGATATTTTCTTCATTTGGCCCCACGTTGAAGATACCCTTAATGCATTAAATCACATGCTAACAACTTCCATTCTAACATTAAATTTACTTTTGAAACTTCACCTTCCAAAATTCCCTTTTTAGACGTTCTTGTAGGCATCTCTACTAACAACATAATCATATCCTCTTTATACACTAAACCTACTGATAACCATGGATTTCTGAACTTTCACAGTTTCCACCATTTAAGCCTTAACAAATCTATTGTCTATAGTCAGTGTCTACGAATTAAACGAATTTGCTCATCTTCGGATGATTATGACAAACAAATTGGCATACTTACTATGCATTTTCTGAATAAAGATTATCCCCTTAAACTAATACTATCAGCTATTTCTAAAGCCTCAACCCGTCCCCAACAATCCCTTCTAGATTATAAACCCAAAGATATTCTAATAACCGCATTCCTCTCGTCTTCGTCTACCATCACAATATAAGTTTTCCTAACCGCCAACTTAAAACTATTTGCCACATTTTTGAAGACCCTCCCCTACTAGCCAAAATACAACCCCCTATTATTTATTGAAGCAAACTTGGAATCCTCATTTTTTTTTTAATATATATATATATATATATATATATATATATATATATATATATAAAGTGTTAACGGCTATCTTGATTTATATATTTTGAAAGCATAGCCCGCCTGCATTACGCGAAGAAGAAGCGAACTTTACCAAATTGCCTCAGCATATGTGGTCGTGATGCTGCTTGTATTGCTGCACATCTATCATTAGGAAGCTGTAAACTTTAAAGACAGTTTGCGAAAATCTGTAAGTCGTATTTGCAATTAAAACTGTAGCATAAGTAGTTCATATATTCATGTTTATGATACACATCTAAAAAGAAATAATCATTATCACTATCATCATCATAGCCATGATCATCACTATCATCATATCAACATCACAATCACCATTAAAAACAACATCATAATCATCATATCATCATTACCATCAACATATCATTATCATTATTATTATCATAACATAATCATCGCATCATCATTATTATCATCATCCTCTCAAAATCATTATCAGCCTATTCTGATTATAATCCATTAAGTCACTCCGGCTTTCTTTGCCAACTTCATTTGTGAAAAGCATTAAAACAGCCTAAAATTAAAGCCAGGATATGATGTTGAAATGAATACTCTAATAAGCAATTGTTTAGTTCTTATGACACTCTGTACACGCAGTGTTGTCTCGTTTCTGGTGACACGTTCAAAAGCTGAACGTGTTTAGGCCAGGCATAATTTCTTTATGTTTCTGACGTGTTTAGCATTAAATGTGCCTAGGTATTTGACATCTTGATTTCAAATAACTAAGCACATTTATTGCTAAACACGTCAAGATCCTAAATACATTAAGCTATGTCTAAACACGTTTACACATCTAGATGTGTAACGAGACAACATTGCGTGAATTTTTGTATTTAAATGATCCACGCAGTTTTTACAGTGTATAGAAAACCACTTCCTAACGAACAGCTTTGTGCTTTATTTTGCATACTTTTGGAAAGTATAAAAAAAAATGATCCCCCAAAACGCCTCAGAGGTTATTTTCGGCCGTCTAAAAAACAAAATAGTGTTGACTCCATCAGCCCAACTTTCGACACCACCTTTTGGACATTTCTGGATCCGCCCCTGGCAAAAACGAACAGACAGTAATCGATATAGTTTCGATCTGCTTTTTGCTAAGAACATTACCACTCAGAAACCAGTCACCGTTACAACTAGCAATTTGATTAAAATATACACTGTTACCTATATATAAAACAATGTGACTAACTTATAAAGAAATTATTGTCAAGTTATGTTGGACACTATATAAAATATAAACCTTATGAATATTATCCATTATGTTTTGATAGTGATTTTGTGCATTAACGGTGTTTTCTTTTCCTTCTTACTTTCATTTTTTAGGGTCGAAACACGGATTATTTCAACCGAAAAAAGATACAATGAATATATTTGACCTACCGACATATGACCCAAGAATTTTTGCCAATTTAAGGCTGTATTTTAGACATTATGACGTGATTCATCATAATATTATATAATCAATTCTGTTATCAATCGGGTTTTTTTTAAAAACTGTACTAATATATATTAGTACAGTTTAAAAAATACCCCGATTGATAACAGTTAACTAGTGTGCTGTGTAAAAGATATTAAATAGGCTCCCAGCGGAAGCGTGTGTCTACTGCCTTATACAGGAGTTTTTGTTTTTTTAATTTTATCTTATGTTCTTCAATATGCAGATGTGTGTATTATTGTAGTGTATCTGGATTTTTCATTAAACTTTTCTTTCATAACAATATATTCTGTATAAGCCTACTACTATATTACACTAAAAACACTCCTGGAGTTACCACCTTATGTCGTTGATCACGAAGAGTACTATCATGTTCTAGAGGGCATCCTTCAAATGACGGTAAAAGGCGTTAGTAGCGAACGCGTGCTGCGTCTCTACAACCCATCATGCTCAACCGGATTTACTCTTTCCCGCCATCTTTAATTGCTACATCATGACATAGTGTCTACGCTCCCGTTGGGGTCAGTAGACACAAAAATCACATACCCGAAAAAGCACTCAATTTATGATGCATTAAACTAATATCGAAAATTTTTTTAATAATTGTACTAATAAAAAGGTAAATTATATATTTGGATATTATTAACCACTTAACTTAGGCACGGGAGAGGATCTAAGAGTGTTCATTAGAGGTGGCTACCAATTGCAGATGGGTTGATGGAAAAAGTGGATAATTATTCCAACAAAAACATAGAAGCTCTCAGGTGGTAAGAGATGTAAAATATGCTACAATATGAAAATAAAAAGTCGGCTCCGACTTACTTAGTTAAAATATATACTGCCACCTAAAACATCAAAGTATAAACTAACTTATTCAATAAAATTAAATGAATAAGGCAATTAATAGTTAGAACAGCGCATGCTCGTATCAAGATTAACAACGTAAACACCATACTCACATTCAACGTTATTACGTCGATTGACCTTAGATACGAGCAGCAGAGCTCAAACCATGAATTGGCTTATTGTTAATTTAAAACAATAGCAAACGTTGTCATTTTTCAATAAGTCACAAATATAAGTTTTAAAACGATTAGACATCGAAATTATATTTTTTTTTCTTAAATCAACCACATTACATGTTAGGTATGGTAGGTCTACTTTTTGTGTCTACTTTTCGCTTGTCTGCAAGTAGACACTTTGCTATAATCTATTTTTATTGTTTTATTTTATTTCTAAAAACACACATAGAAACATAATTTTTTTTCCGACGCAGCGGCAACAGATTAATAGAGACAAAGAAAAAACACGATTAAAAGAACAGATAATAACAATAACAATGATAATAGTATTGTTTTTTGACTTTTCTGATAATAATCATCACGACATAAAAAAAGAACTATTAATCAAAACTTTTATCAACATAATGATAAGCCGATAAAAGAGTAAATTCGGTTGAAGGAATGTTGGGACGGAATAGAGTAGGGTGTGGATATATGAGGTAGATGAACTAAAAGTGCACTGATCGGCTTGTATAGGCCTAAACTCACTAATGTCACGTTAGTTGAGTTTGTTTTCATGATTTTTTTATTTCACAACTTTTTAGTAGCACTTTAATAGTATTATTGTTTATCGTCTGTCTTTAATGACTTTTTTTTTGCAATTTCGACATCACTTCTCATTATGGCAATGTGGAAAAGCCCTGCGTTCTGTTGTAATAACAGTAGACTTAGTTCTGGTCCCTAATGTTGTCTTGATCCGTAAAAACCATTAAAAATAACATAATTTGGCACCAATGGCGTTCCATACTGTCCTTTTATGGAAGTAGGGACTGGGCAAACAGTAAAAATTTAGCAAAGTTGCTTCCCGAAGATTTTTTAACGAAGGATAATTTGGTCAAGGTAATTCAACAGAAGGACGCACATCTCCGCTCTCGAACATAGCGCGTGCGTACAGTCCTTTGATCTTTACTGTGGCATCGACAATCC